GGCCCAGAGCTAAAGCCTGGGGCCAAGCTGAAGCGCAAGCCCCATGGCCCAGGACAAAGCCCACTGCCTGGGGCTGAAGCCCTTGGACTCAGGCTTCAGTTCCCCCTCCTGGGGTCATGTAGTAATTTTTGTTGTTAGAAGGGGGTTGCGGTGCAATGAAGTTTGAGAACCCCTGATCTAGGGCTTTTTCAGTGTCACCTCTAGTGCTATGCGTGTGCTGCTTTTGCGTTAGGTTTTGCATTTTTAAATGTGTAGCAAGAACATACAGTATCACCAAGAGTGATCACTTTTTAGACTCCTCATGCTCTTTAATTTTGATTTTCTTTAAAGAATGGGCTGTTTGTCATGGGTCTGCAATATAATAGACAGTAAACAGATTTGAAGTTAGTTGCTTATAGTAAAGTCAGCTAAAAGGATGTTAGAATTTTTACTACCTTTCTGAAGTAAAGATGCAGTTCCTTATTATGTTTTGAATGGTGTATTTTAAAATACATAGTTTTAAATCCCTTTTTAATGAATTACAATAATACTTTGTTAATCCAAGTTAATATACAGACTTTTTTCCCTCAAGAAAGAGAATCTGTAGCTAATCATTACTTTTCCTGTTTTGGTAAGTCTGGCCAGCAGTTAATTTTTCAGCTACTCCAAGCAGGGTTTAATGGTTGTGTTAGTAGTATGAAAATGCTTTATTTTTTCTTGTTCAGTTGACTCTTCCAGGAGCAGCTTCCTTTAAAACTATTTTAAGTATATTTCAGTGCATACAAAATATTTTTTAAATGTCAACTAAGTAAAAATTGCGCTCTACCTCAAATGGGGAAACGGATACCACAGAATTAACTGAGAGATGTAACACTTTAGAATAAAATGATATGGGGGGGGGAGGGGTAATCTGATTCAAAACCAGGGATTATGACCTGTCACTGACACTATAGCTCATGGATCAGAATTCATTAGTTAAACTATAAAATAAAGATTCTGTACATTCACCAATCTTGACAGCCTCACTTTTAGGATTTCAGGAAATAGTTGACCTTTGACCTCAAGTTACATAGGTTCATGTTACACTTTCTGGGGAAACTAACTCTCTAATCAGAATAGCCAGATTTCCATCAAATCTGTAGCACCATGTTTCACAAATTGGTTTATATCAGTAGCAAGCAGTTAAGCTCTGTGTATGATGGCCAGGGAAAGTGGATAATTGCCTTTCTGCCAAGAATTATATTTGCTCACTATTCACCAGAGAGCTGGATGGGTCATGCAAAGTGCTGATGAATGCCCTCAACTTCTGTTGAAATTCATGGGGATTGGGGGTGCTCAGCACTTGCAGTTTTGTATCCATACTTTCTCTGGCAAATGTAGACTGGGTCACATTATGCTGCAGGTGTGATATGCACATCTCTGTCATATGTTGTTTACTTATGCTCACTAAAACACCTGATGATATGATGGTCACCACAGGGACAAAGCCTCGCTAATTCCATTATGTTTGTAGCCATTTTTATTGTAGATAGCATGTGAGATTTGATTTTTAATTAAATATATATGCTAATAAAAAGCCCCCCTCCAAACCTCTAGTGATTAAAACAAGAGGCCTTAATTTCAGATTCAACATACAGGTACCCAGTTCATTTGCCTTTGCATTCACCAGCTCTGTTCCTGTCCACACAAGTAGTAAGTAAATGGAGCTTTTCTAGCTAGATTTCTGAGCTGTTTTGGACTGTCAAGCTGGTCAAGTGCTGAGCAATATTAATTTTCTTTACTAGTCATGGAAAACGTGTTTTTCTCCTTATTTGTGATTCTTGAGTTTTATAAATTATACTGTGACCTTTGGCATTTGTTTCACTTTTAGGTGAAAGGAGTTTGCAGGTATTTTAGCTGAGATGCGTATTGTGTGCCTTTCCTCTAAGGTAAACATACAGGATCATCTAAGAGTGCTGTTGAGTCTAGGTGAAGGTGGGGGCTGAAGGTGGATGATGAGATGGGACAGCGATGTAAGCAGCTTCAGCAGTCAGGAGACCACAGGAATGCAAGACTTATGAGTCTCCTATGACTTTTTCCTCTTTTGACTGACACATTTGACCTTTTGAACTTTTTGATGCAGATGGATTCCCAGCAGTAATGATTGGCAGTAGTAACATGTTGTACTCTGAGGCTGGCAACATTTAGGTGCCCAACTCACATTGGTTTTCCTATAGAAGTTGGGTGCCTAACTCCCATAGGTGCATTTGAAATTTTCTACCTGCAAATAAATGTGAGTAAGCTTTGTATATCGGTACATGCAGGTTCTTAAATTCAGTACATTCTTTCTTTATGTAGGGAATAATGGATAGCAAGGCATGTGGTTGTGATATAACTACTCATCTCAGGCACGTAATGAGGCTGAAGGCCATTTCTAGGATCTGAGAAGTACCACTATCTTAGAACTGTCATGTTTTTTCACTTACAGGAAGGTACTGTTGTCATTTTTGACTTGGAAAAACATTTAGACGAAGTAATTGAATCAGATGGTTGGTGTCCCATAATCACAGGGGGATCAACTGTAGTTACTCAGATTTCTCCTTCTATGCTGCCTGTTTTATAAACGCATTTATAAATATTCCAGTGAACTTTAAAAGTTTAAAGGACCAGAGATATGGATGGCAGCAATTTTAATATGCTACTTAAAAATTGCTGATTAACATACAGATTGTCCTCTTGAACTGTGCAAGGGCTGCAACGTAGTCTACATTTAAAAATTAGACTTCAGGGTGAAACTAGTAAAAACCAAATAACCCTTCTTCTCCCCTCCCCCCCCACCCTATTGTATTAGTTTTTTGTGACCTAAAGTGTCCATATAGCACTTCCCTATTGACTTTCCCTGTGCCTGCCTTCGCTGCTCTCATGAGCAAACAGGGTGTTGAAATTTACAGGAATCCTGTTCTGCTAGGCATTTGTA